TGGTGGTTTCTTCAAGCAAGTCTTTTGCTTCATTTATTTTGGTTGTTAAGTATGAAGACCCATCTTAATCTGGGTGATTTTCCTATAAGCTGTTTTAATCTTGGCCTTGCCAGCAGATGAGTTTATATCCCAAAATAAGACTAGCTTCTCACCCACACATTTTCTGTTCAAATCCTCCTTTACAGTAGGATGAAAGGTTAGGGGTTGAAATCTTCTTTGCGGTCTGTGATTGTTTTAGAAGTTTCCAGATCTGATATACATAGTAACCTGCAAATGCAAAAGCTGAAACACCTTGTCCTAAAGCTACCAAGCTTCTTGCCAGTCCCTGGTCAATTTCCATGTCTGGCCATTTGGTTGAGGGCAGCGAGGATTCAGTATAGTGCAGGCCCTTGCCCACAGGGGCAACGTCAGCAAGGGCAGCCGTGGCAATGCAGTGAGGAAGGTGCTGTGTGCATTGGCACTGCCTACATGACAGACGCAGGGACAAACTATCTCTCCCGATTCTAAACCATCACACCACGGGTGTACGATCTGCCCATTCCGTGTCTCTGCCCCTCCTACCAGTCTTGACATGGTTTCTTCTTTATGTCCTTGTTAAAGAAGTTATGTTCAGCTAGTCTTCAGGTGGTTCTCAAGGGTGGTGGTCCTATAATTTAGTTGTAATTTTGATGTGATTGTGGGAGAAGGCGAGCACAGTGTTAACCTACTCCATCATCTTGACCAGAAGTTCATTCCAGCTTTCTTTTGATTAATGTTGCTATGGCGTAGCTTTTCCTATCCTGTTGCTTTGAGCATACCTCTATCATGTTTGAAGTGTACTATGTATACCTAGTATATGAACCATTTGCTGGATCAAGAGTCTGACTCAGTTTTAGAATATAGTCCTAGAGCTCCAGCTTTATGAGTCTCCCCACACACACTTGAGCAATCTTTGTTTTTCAACCCTCTCAAGGCCCATGAAACCACAGAAATCAATATTCAATGTTATCAATTTGGTAAAGACCCTCAAAATGAACGCCAACTTTGGTTATCTAAATTTCCTATCTTAACACTCAGTCCTTGACCTATGTATTTTCTGTTTTTAATAGTTTTCAGTGGGAGGTTGGTATGTGCATGTAACCTACCATGTTGCTGCAGAAACAACTTAATCCTCAGAACAATGTTCTGATAGGTATTAATACTCTCATCTTATAGATCATGAAAATGTGTGACACTGTGAGAGATTTTATAAAATAGTAGAAACAAACGAGTTTTGAGGCAGGCTGACCTGGGCGTGAATTTTGACTCCTTTCTTAGTTCACTGTGTAACTTTGGGCAATTTATTATATTAACCTTTTTTTTTTTTAGAGTTTTGTGTGTTTTATTTAACCAATTCAGGCCATAATATTTGTAACTTAAATCCCTTGTATATATTATATGCATGTACCCCAGAGGAAATAGGAAGTAATACCTGACAGGAAATGTTTCTCCATGGCTTCTTTATTAAATCCTTAGTTATTTTCTCCTTTTTATATTAGAATTGTACCTAAAGAGATCACTGGCAAGAAGCTCTTCTTTTGCATGTTGATTTTGCACCTCCATTTCCTGCCTCAAGGCCCCTTTTAATTCCATATTCTTTCGATCATGTTGAGATATTAAATCTGATCCTCCAATGGTCTGTGGAAGTTTTCTTTCAGAATTTCTTGAAATTTTTTAGTCAACCAGGAAATGTGATCTTTCAGAATTTCTTGAAATTTTTTAGTCAACCATAATCATCCTTTTCACTGGGTGCATTTCTGGAGGCAGAGTTACTAATCACCAGTGATCTAAATGTACTCAGCAGCACCTTCTTTGGAAGCATCACACCATCGTCCTGAAGCCTGTCATTGTTAGATGATTCTTTAGTTGACCTAGTAATCCTTTCTTGAGATCACATTTCTGCCTAATTTCATTTTCTTGAGATATCTTGTCACTTTCTGGTATTGTTTCATCATTAAAAGAGCCCTTTGTTTCTGTATCTAATCTTGGCCCTTTTGTAATATTGACATCTTTCTCTTGTTTTTGAACTTTCACTTCAGTTTCTAGCTCTGGTTTTGTGTTCTTGAACAATTGTTCCAATACTTCATTTTTTATGGCTAAATTGTCAATTTTCCTTTTTTTCCTGATCTTTGTTTTTCTGTAGAAAGAGACTATTTGGCAGAATTGTTCACAGTGGATTTTTAATCTATATCTATAGATGTTATCTGCCCCCCCCGCCCCCCGCCCCAGTCTCCTTCTGAGATAGCTGCTGCTCCTTTTTTTTCCTTCTTCTTCTTCTTCATATTGAGGGTGTAGCAAGTTGCGTTTATTCTAGATGAGAATGAAACATTTTCATTCTTGCTGATTTAGGTGAAGAAATTTCTCGATTTCCTTCATCCTTTTCCCTTTTCTTGGTGGATAGTGGAAGTAGTTTCTGATGGAGTTGATCAGTGGCTGCTGGGAAGCCCTATCTCTCCCTCTATTTGCACCTAGGAGCGTGGTTGGTGAAAGCTGTATTATTATCAGAGCTTATTTTGGAGGTTCCATTAGAGTAGATGTTTCCTGTGAAGATAGTCTGGATTTTTGTTCCATTCTGAAGATTTTTATTTCTTTTGACCTTTCACTCAAATCTACTCGTTTGTTTGCTCTCTGTGTCGGCTACATATGTTATGTTGACTGGGGCACTTGGCATGAGCTTCTCTTAGACTGACAAGCCTTGGAAAAGGCTCGGGACTGGAGTCATCATTCTGAATCCTACACTGGGCTGGCCCTGAGGATCACGGTAATTCTCTATAGTCATGAAAATAATTGCCAATCCAATTTCTGCTTCAGGAATAGGTCTAAGACCTTGCCTTTGCATGGATTCAATGGATCCATTTTTTCTGAGAGTCAGAAATTAAGGTCTAGGTGCCGGGGTCCGACCCCAGCAGGTCCAGGGGTCCCCAAAGGCGTGGATGGAGTCGGCGAAGAAGGAATGACATGGGGACAGCGTTCAGTTGATCAGCAGCCTAGCCAGGATCTCCAGCCAGGATCTCCAGCCAAGTTCTGGTCTGGATCTCCAGGGAAGTTCTGGTTAGGATCTCCAGCCAGGTTCTGTGTCCATGTTCTCTTGCTAGGTTCTCCAGCCAGGTTCTGTAGCCAAGTTCCCTCGCTAGGTTCTCCAGCCAGGTTCTGTCCAGGTTCTCCAGCTGGGTTCAGTCACCAGGTTCTAGTCAGGTTCTCTTGCCATTTTCTGTAGTCAGGTTCAGTCCAGGATCTTTTGCCATGTTCTCTCGCTAGGTTCTGTGTCTAGGTTCTGAGGCCAGTTTCTGTCCAGGATCTTTTGCCATGTTCTCTCGCTAGGTTCTGTCTCTAGGTTCTGAGGCCAGTCTCTGTCCAGGAACTTTTGCCATGTTCTCTCCAGCGAAGTTCTTCTGTCTCTAGAGAATGTTCTGTGTAGGTTCTGTGCCTAGGTTCCGTCTCTCCTGGTTCTGTATTCTAAGTTCTGTGTTCTAAGTTCTGTGTTCTTAGTTCTGTCTTGCTGTCTTATTACATCTGTATTTATACCAGTTGATTCAATCCTATCAATCTCTATTACAAAGGTTAGGGCGTTTCTTATCTTCATTCCAGGGAGTAAAGATTATGTAGCTTAAGCACGATTGTTCGTAGTTAAAGTGATTAATTACCCGCCTGGCACTTAGTTAAGAGGTTTTATTCCCTCCCTAACTTCAGGGGAAAATCCCTACCTGGGGAAACAACCTTTCTCAGAGACCTTGGTTAAAACACATAGTGCCAAGAAGGTGAGCAAACATATTAAGAACAGTATGCCATATATGCCAGGTCCCTTGAAACAGCAAGTATGGACCGGCTCCCGGCATCTAGGAATTTGTTATTCTACATCAACAACAAAATGTTCAGGAGCTGAAAATAAACTATCATCGCCTTCATTTTCTTCTGTTATCAACTTAGCATCTCCTCCTCCCAAAACAACTGCTGAACTTATGCTGCTTGGTACTCAGAAATACAAACGTTTTCCCTTTGAAGATGTTTTCTTTCCTGTCGTCCTGGCAGATCAATATTTTTACTTCTAATAGCTGGTTCATCATCAATAGGTGGGTAAAAACTTTCAATTCATGGCTGCTGCTTCTTAGACAGAAGTACTTTCAAAAATTCAGTAAATTGCTCTGGCCTTACAATTGGATATCCACAAATGAGTGCACGTATTGTTTTAATGATCACTTTGACTGATATCATAACAAGGTGCGTGGCGTGCACTCCTACTGTAGGAGTGTGTTGCAGTGTGTCTTGATTTAAAGCAGTTTCCCCAGAGACATCTAAACCAGAAGAGTATGCAATCAAAGACTCACACTCCACTCTCAATTTACTTTCAAACACTCCAAAGTAACTCTATCCTGTCTTCAAAGTTTGGGAAAGGCCATTCTACATTTTTTCCTCATTAACAAAGGTACCATACTTACAATTACCTTTATTGTTAATATAAGAATTTCATCTGTTTGACTAAGGTTGGTTACAGAAAAGATGGCAATTAACACAGCATGATTCCAACTGATTGATCATTTTCTTTCTTTTTTTTTTAATCCTCTCCCAATTTTCTCCATTTTCAGAGAGAGTGTAATGGCTGCTTCCCCCACGCGCCCCACTGTGGGCAGGGAGCCAACCACAACCCAGGCATGCATGTGCCCTTGACCAGGAATCTAACCCCTGACCCTTCTGTGCACTGGCCTACTCTCTAACCACTGAGAACCACTGGCCAGGGCTGATTGATCCTTCCCCTTCCTACACTGTACTACACACCCGTCAAAACTCTGTATGGTTCTTGGCTGGGCCGCAGGGGCGAAGTCAGTGGCAGGGGGGTTGGGGGGGGGGGTGCAAGAGGGAGGAGGAAGTTTCCACATGGGTCTGCCCTCAGTGTCAGGGCGACCTGCAGCCGTGCAATTACAGCTAACAGACGTGCGGGCTGCAGTGCCTGGGGACCGCGGGTGCCTAGACGTATGAGCTCCCCATAGTAACCTCTTTAAACCTCAGTTTATTCATACATATTACAGTATTGCTCATTGTACTGTTAGGGATGTTAAATGAGAAACTCATTAAAATGCTTGCCCTGCATAAATGGCAGTTGCTCCTATAATTATTCTCATTGTTAAAGATTTAATAATTGCCAGTGGCCATTAAGCTAGTACAGACTTAGGTCTGTGATTCTAAAGCCAATGCCTTCCCCCTATACCATGTTGCTTTTCTTCTCTTTCTTAGAAAGAATTAACAGAGGAAGAAATAGTAATTCACACATCTTCCATACAATTATCTCTAGTCTATCCTATCTAAATAATCCACAAATATTACAATGTCTAGGTTCCGTAAGGAATAGAATCAAAGGCTCAGTGCTTGATCTCATATATGGCTAACTGGACTTTCATTACCTCAAGAGCAGTTTGCACTGAATGTAGTACTTAAGCATTCAGGCTTTAGAATAAAAAAGACCTGGATTTGAGTCTCAGCTTCTCAACCTCTAAGATCCACAATTCCTGATCTGTTAAAAGGGAATAATAACATTAACTCCCTTATAGGAATTTTTGGAGGATAAGATAAAAATAATATATTTAGAGCAGGGCCCGAAACATGGTTAATGCTCCCAAATGGTAGCTGTTGTTATTACCAACGTGAGATACTGTTTTCTACATTTAAATTTTTTTTCCATTAGTTCAGCCAATCAACAATTAGTGCCCCTTTGTGCAATAAAGAAAATTCACAATCAGCTTGTTTGATACTAACAGAGCATTACATTTAAAAGGACACCACGTTGATTCCTTACGGCCAGAAGCTTATTAAAGACAAGCCATTCTGTCACGTAGCTGGCTCTATCACCTATGCGTCTCATCAAGGACAGAAACACTTAGATCGCCATCCTCTCTGAGGGTGTCCAGAGGTTCAGGTATCTTGGCATGTATAACCAGAGAAAGTCTTTATTTCTGCTCTGGAAGATAATTTCTCTCTCCCACAAGGAAGAAAAAAAAATACAGACAAGAAAGACGACATTTCCCTTTCACTGGTTTGTAAAGACTCATAACACAGAGAGATAAAGAAATATATAAAAGGGTTCACCCTCTCCAATAACCAGAAAAAAACAACAACTGCATCAATAAAGTTCAGACTATAATTACCTTCTTCTGTTGTTCTTCCCCAGCCACCTATGAAACACTCTGTCTTTTCATCCAGCTTTTGGAAAACATCAAAAGGTAGACAAATAGGCTGAATGTAGTTATTATACCTCACTGCTTTTTTTAGACGAAAAAGCGCAATGTCATTTACGTAAGTTTCCAAATGGAAGTTTGGATGGACGATGATTGCTTTAACCTTTATAATCTTGCCGTGTGGACGTCTCCCGTCTATATTGTTAGTTCCAAGCACAGCTCTCCATACTACAGGATCTCTGAAAGAAAGTAAATGTTCTTGTTATAAACACGTTTATTTGAGTAAATATTCTTAATCTCCCACTAGTTTTTTTCTCATGTTAATAACAAAATTTTATCCCACTTTTATGTGACATAAAGTCACATCAAATAAAAACCTAAATATTAATATGTAGGAAAAGAGAAAAAGATCTTTGGAACGGAAAGTCCAAAAACAGATTCAGAGAATTTTTTTTAAATATATTTTTTATTGCTTTCAGAGAGGAAGGGAGAGATAGAAACATCAACGATGAGAGGGAATCATTGATTGGCTGCCTCCTACACACCCTCCACTGGGGATCGAGCCTGCAACCTAGGCATGTGCCCCTGACCGGAATTGAACCTAGGACCCTTCAGTCTGTAGGCTGACACTCTATTCACTGAGCCAAATCAGCTAGGATTCAGAGAATTTATATGACTAAGGCAGCAGCACTTCTTACCAGTGGACAGAGCATGAATTAGTAAATGATATTGGGGAAACTAGCTAATTAACTAGTTTGAAAAGTGAATTAATTCTCTGGAAAACACAAAACTATAAAATAAACTCAAAATGTATTAAATAGATTTAGACACAAATATTTTAAATAAAACTTCCTATCTTTTAGAGATACATAAAGTGGTATGTCTGAGATTTGCTCCAAAATAATTGGAGGGGGAGTTGATGAGGATAAAGATGAAACAAACAAAAAAGATAAAACAAGAGGAGAACCAAGATGGCGGCATAGGTAAACACCGGAGAATGCACAACCTTGCACAACCACTTCAAAAATACAACTAAAAGACGGAACAGACATCACCCAGAACCACAGGAAAGCTGGCTGAGGGGAAATTCTTCAACTAGAAGGAAAGAGAACAGCATACCAAGACTCAGAGGAGGCGCAGTGTGGAAAATACAAAGGTGCAGAGGTGCGCGCGGAGTGGGCTGGTGGCTGAGGGCGCGGTTGTCGTTTTCAATCGGGAGGGAGGCTCAGGCCCTGAGCTCCAGTTCTGGGTGAGTATCTAGGAACCCAGACTCAAACAGGAGAAGTGGGACTGTCTGGCATCGGTCGGAACTCGAGGGAAGCTTTCTCTCCGAGGTTTGCAGCAGTTGCTGGGACTCTGAGAGGCAGAGCCTCTGGAGACGGGACCGAGAGCAGCCATAACTGCTCGTTCCGCCCGCCCTGTGTATCCCCTGGGACCCGCCCCACCCAAGCCCTGCACAGAGGCATTTGCCAGATAGCCTCAGGCAAAGGCTAGATTAGCACCTCCTCAGAGGACAGAAGTTTTCCCACTGCAGACACAGCTGACTCTCACAGCCAGTTGGCCTGGAGGTCAAATACCCCAGTATTAACTACAACAATCAAGGCTTAACTACAACAAGACTGCGCACAAAGACCACTAGGGGGTGCACCAAGAAAGCATAACAAAATGCGGAGACAAAGAAACAGGACAAAATTGTCAATGGAAGATATAGAGTTCAGAACCACACTTTTAAGGTCTCTCAAGAACTGTCTAGAAGCCGCTGATAAACTTAATGAGATCTACAAGAAATCTAATGAGACCCTCGATGTTATGATAAAGAACCAACTAGAAATTAAGCATACACTGACTGAAATAAAGAATACTATACAGACTCCCAACAGCAGACCAGAGGAGCGCAAGAATCAAGCCAAAGATTTGAAATGCGAAGAAGCAAAAAACACCCAACCGGAAAAGCAAAATGAAAAAAGAACCCGAAAATACGAAGATATGTAAGGAGCCTCTGGGACAGCTTCAAGCATACCAACATCAGAATTATAGGGGTGCCAGAAGATGAGAGAGAGCAAGATATTGAAAACCTATTTGAAGAAATAATGACAGAAAACTTCCCCCACCTGGTGAAAGAAATAGACTTACAGGTCCAAGAAGCGCAGAGAACCCCAAACAAAAGGAATCCAAGGAGGACCACACCAAGACACATCATAATTAAAATGCCAAGAGCAAAAGACAAAGAGAAAATCTTAAAAGCAGCAAGAGAAAGAAACTCAGTTACCTACAAGGGAATACCCATACGACTGTCAGCTGATTTCTCAACAGAAACTTTGCAGGCCAGAAGGGAGTGGCAAGAAATATTCAAAGTGATGAATGCCAAGAACCTACAACCAAGATTACTTTATCCAGCAAAGCTGTCATTCAGAACTGAAGGTCAGATAAAGAGCTTCACAGATAAGGAAAAGCTAAAGGAGTTCATCACAACCAAACCAGTATTATATGAAATGCTGAAAGGTATCCTTTAAGAAGAGGAAGAAGAAGAAAAAGGTAAAGATACAAATTATGAACAACAAATATGCATCTATCAACAAGTGAATCTAAGAATCAAGTGAATAAATAATCTGATGAACAGAATGAACTGTTGATTATAATACAATCAGGGACATAGAAAGGGAATGGACTGACTATTCTTGGGTGGGGGAAGGGGTGTGGGAGATGCGGGAAGAGACTGGACAAAAATCGTGCACCTATGGATGAGGACAGTGGGTGGGGAGTGAGGGCGGAGGGTGGGGTGGGAACTGGAAGGAGGGGAGTTATGGGGGGAAAAAAAGAGGAACTAATGTAATAATCTGAACAATAAAGATTTAATAAAAAAAAAAAAAGATGAAACAAGATCCGGCATGAATTGATAACGAAGCTGGGCTATTAGTATCTGGAAGTTCACTAAACTATTCCCTCTACTTGTGTAAATTCTTGAAATTTTTAGGAAACATTTAGATATTAAATTAGTGTGAGAATTATAAAAATTAAGTCAGAAAGAACATATAGGCGAATACATAATACAGTACTGACATGAGGAAGGACTTTATAAAGCACGACACTAAATATAAAAACAATGTACCTTGCCCTATCTGGTTTGGCTCAGTGGATAGAGCATCGGCCTAGAGACTGAAGAGTCCCAGGTTCGATTCCGGTCAAGGGCATGTACCTTGGTTGCAGGCACATCCCCAGTGTGGGGGTGTGCAGGAGGCAGCTGATTGATGCTTCTCTCTCATCGATGTTTCTAACTCTCTATCCCTCTCCCTTCCTCTCTGTAAAAAATCAATAAAATAAAAAAAAAAAAAAACAATGTACCTTGACAGTCTTTGAAAAACATACCAAAAAGCAAGCAAGACCCCAAACCAACCAAATGATGTTCTGTAGGACAAAAGTCAACAATTAAAATCCAAGCATTTTACAGTTGTTATACTTGTCATTGGATTGGGAAAGAAAGACTTTTACTTTTTACATGGTTGTTTACAAATGCTGAAATTCCTTTTTACTATTTAAATGGGAAAAGTGTATGTATGTGTGTGTGTGTGTGTGTGCGCGCGCATCCTATATAATAAAAGGCTAATATGCACATTGAACAGTGGAACACTTGGTCGCTATGATGTGCACTGACCACCAGGGGGAAGACGCTCAATGCAGGAGCTGCCTCCTGGTGGTCAGTGCGGTAGCCAGAAGCTGGGCTCACGGCTAGCGAGCGCAGCAGTGGTGGTGGGAGCCTCTCCCACCTCCATGGTAGCGCTAAGGATGTCCAACTGCCGGCTTAGGCCCGCTCCTCGTGGGGAGCTGGCCTAAGCTGTAAGTCGGACATCCCCGGAGGGCTCCTGGACTGTGAGAGGGTGCAGGCCGGGCTGAAAGGCCCCCCGAGTGCATGAATTTTGTGCACCAAGCCTCTAGTTTGATGATAATGCTCAGTACAGAGAGGAGTCGGAGGAATAACGGTTCTCCTATTCATTGTGGAAAGTAAAAATAGATGAGTACTTTGGTAACATATTCCAGTAGCCTATAAAACTTGCATGGTATTGCCCTGGCTGTGTGGCTTAATTGGTTGAGCATTGTCCCATGCACCCTGAGGTTGCTGGTTGAATTCTGGGTTGTGGACTCAATCCCCAGTAGGGGGTGTGCAGAAGGCAGCCAATCTCTCTCTTCCTCTCCTCTCTAAAATCAATAAAAAAAAATTTTAAAAAACCTCTTAGGTATAACCATTTCTAAAAATAAATAAATAAATGGTTGAATTGTATTTGACTCTGCAATTGTATTTTCTAGAATATATCTCAGGGAAATAGGAGATATTTAGCGCTCTCAAAAGTAGGCTAGGCAAACTCTAAAAAGTTTGTGAAAATATTTAAAGTCCTAGTTCTGTTCTGTTTTGTTTTTTAATCACTACTTTAAGCTAATTTGAAATAATGATGTTTCTTTTCTTTTCCAAACTTAATGTATGTTATTTACTTCAATTTTTTTTTTAAATATATTTTATTGATTTTTTACAGAGAGGAAGGGAGAGAGATAGAGAGTTAGAAACATCGATGAGGGAGAAACATCGATCAGCTGCCTCCTGCACATCTCCCACTGGGAATGTGCCAGCAACCCAGGTACATGCCCTTGACCGGAATCGAACCTGGGACCTTTCAGTCCGCAGGCCGACGCTCTATCCACAGAGCCAAACCGGTTTCGGCTATTTACTTCAATTTATTCAGACCATAAAATTAAAAAGCAAGTTGTATACACTGAAAATTATAAAATATTGCTGAAAGAAATGAAAGAGTACATACATAAATGGAAAGACATCCCATGTTCATGGATTGGAAGACTTACTACTGTTAGGATGACAGTACTAATCAAGATGATCTGTAGATTCAAAGGAATCCCTATAAAAATCCCAATGATGTTTTTTGTAGAAGTAGAAAAACCTATCCTAAAATTCATATGGAAAATATTAAGGGACCTCCAAATAGCCAAAATAATCTTGAAAAAGAAAAATGAAGTTGGAGAACACACAGTTCCTGATTTCAAAACTTACTTCAAAGCTATAGTGAGCTAAACAGTGTGGTGCCAGAAGGAGAGGTATATACACCAATGGGAAAGAATAGAGAGCCCAGAAATATACCCTTGCATGTGTGGGCAACTGGTTTTCAACAAGTGTTTCAAGACAATTCAGGAGGAATGGACAGGCTTTTCAACAAATTGTGCTAACAAGATTAGA